AGCTTGGAGACCTCGATACGGCGACTAGCGTCTGGGCACGTCCTTGTGCTGGGGGACTTCAACGCAAAGTCCATTGCGTGGGGTTCCCCCAGGACGGACGCAAGGGGCGAGGCCGTAGAGGAGTGGGCGGCCTCGGTGGGCCTCTGTCTTCTAAACAGAGGCTCCACCAACACGTGCGTGCGACAGCAGGGGGGGTCGATAGTGGACCTTTCGTTCGCTACCCCTGCCCTCGCCGCACGAGTAAGGAACTGGCGTGTCCTGGAAGAGGTTGAGACGCTCTCGGATCATCTCTATATCCGATTTGAGCTCTCCCGGACCCAGGACTCCAGTAGGGGTCACGTGGCGCGGCGTTTATCCCGCTTTCCGCGGTGGGCTGTTGCCAGACTGAACCGGGACCTACTAGAGGAGGCAGCCATAATTCACTCGTGGCTGTCTCCTCAGGCTCCGACCGAGGAGGTCGACGTGGGGGCTGGCCGCTTTCGCGATGCGATTACGCATATCTGCGATGCGGCCATGCCCCGCATTCGAGGTCGTCGGCCTCCAAGGAAGGAGGTCTACTGGTGGTCCCAGGAGCTGGCGGACCTCCGTGCGGCCTGTACACGTGCCCGGAGGTCCTACACACGCAGTCGGCGGCGTCACCGTGGAGACGGTGAGGAGGACCGGCTTCATGAGGAGTACCGACGGGCGCGGAAAACTCTGAAGCTGGCCATTAGCCGCGCCAAAGAGGAAAAGAGACAGGAGATGCTGGAGGGTCTTAATCGTGACCCCTGGGGTCGCCCTTACCGCGCGGTGCGACAAAAGCTCCGCGCGTCGGGCCCCCCCCTTACGGAGACTCTCCAGCCCAGCTTCCTGCGAGAAGTGGTTGAGGGCCTTTTCCCACAACGAGCGGAACACACTCCCCCGTCGATGGCCTCCCTGGCCGGAGACGACGGGGAGCACGGGGAGGACAATGTTCCGCCCGTCCGGGATTCGGAGGTAGGGGCGGCTGTTCTACGGATCCGTTCCAAGAACACCGCCCCTGGGCCAGACGGGGTACCGGCCCGAGTGCTGGCCCTGGCCCTCAACCACATGGCAGACCGCCTTGGGGAGGTGTTCGACGCTAGCTTGGCGTCGGGACGCTTCCCTGAGTGCTGGAAGAGCGGGAAGCTGGTCCAGCACTCAGGGAAGCGTCGGACGCCCAATTTGGTTTTCGGGCGGGGCGTTCGACAGTCGACGCCGTGTTGCGCCTGAGGGCCGTGACCGAAGAGGCCGTGAGCTGTGGCGGCGTGCTGTTGGCGGTGTCATTAGACATCGCCAACGCATATAATAGTCTGCCATTCAGCTGCATCAGGGAAGCACTCCACTATCATGGGGTGCCAAAGTACCTGAGGCGGCTAGTGGCAGACTATTTAGAGGAGCGTACCGTCGTGTACGAGGACCGAGAAGGTAATTTGAGGTGTCGGCCCATGTCGTGCGGTGTTCCACAGGGGTCTGTTCTTGGACCCCTCTTGTGGAACATAGGGTACGACTGGGCCCTTCGCGCCGATTTCCCCCCCGGGCTGGGTGTAATCTGTTACGCAGACGATACCCTGGTGACAGCCCGGGGGGCAAACTTCCAAGAGGCGGCGCGCCTGGCCACAGGGGGAGTCTCCCTGGTGGTCGGGCGCATTGAGGCGCTGGGCTTACGGGTGGCCCTAGATAAGACGGAGGCCCTGTTATTTCATGGGCCCCGTCGTGGTCCACCCCCTGGCGCCTCAATCGTGGTCAACTCGGTCCTCGTACCGGTTCGGGCCCAGATGAAATATCTGGGCCTGATCCTCGACGGGAGGTGGCTCTTCGACGAGCACTTCCGACAGCTTGCTCCAAAGCTGGTCGGCGCTGCGTCTGCCCTAGGGCGACTTTTGCCCAATATGGGTGGACCCAGCGTCGCGACAAGACGGCTGTACACGGGGGTTGTCCGGTCAATGGCACTGTACGGTGCACCGGTGTGGGCGGCGGCTCTGGCCGCCCAGAATAGGGTACGCCTCTGGCGCCCTCAGAGGGTAATGGCGGTCAGAGCCATACGCGGTTACCGCACCGTGTCGACGGAGGTGGCATGCGCGTTGGCCGGAACTCCCCCGTGGGATTTGGAGGCGGAAGTGCTCGCCGAAGTTTATCGGCGAGTGGCTGACTTCCGGGCGGAGAGCGGATTTCGCCCTCCGCCCGAGGATGTGCGCGAGTGGCGCGAAGCCGCTCGCCGAGCCACGATGGCTCGTTGGTCGTTCCGGCTGGAGACTCCACGCGCTGGCTTCGCCGCCGTGGAGGCTCTCCAGCCGGTCATCGCCGAGTGGGCAGGGCGGCAGCACGGGACCCTTTCCTTCCGGCTGACGCAGGTGCTTTCCGGGCATGGTTGCTTCGGAAAGTACCTGCACACGGTCGCTAGGAGGGAACTGAGTCCCGCCTGCCACCACTGCGACTGCAGTGAGGACTCGGCCCAGCACACGCTGGCGGTCTGCCCCGCATGGGCGGCGCAGCGCCGGGCCCTCACTGCAGTCATCGGAGTGGATCTCTCGCTACCGGCCGTAGTACGCTCCATGGCCGGTAGCGACAGTTGTTTTACCGCGGTCGCAACCTTCTGCGAGGTAGTAATCTCGCGGAAGGAGGCGGCGGAGAGGGCCCGGGAGGACGACCTCCACTCGGACCCGATCCGCCGCCGGCGAACCGGGCGGCGGAGGCCCGCCTACCACAGCCTCATGCCGCCCTGAGTGTGGCCGCGGGTGGACGGGGTGGGTTTCCCCTCCACCCGCATTAGTTGGCCAGCCGCGAGGGGGCGGCGTCCGCGTGTGCCGGACGTCGCCTAAAGAGAGGAACATCTACATTGAGACGGAGCCCGCACCAGGAGCGGGCTGGCGCTAGGAGGGGTCCGGATGTCTTAACAACAGCTGTTCCCGGATCCCTCCTGTTACAGGCGCAGAGTGGCACACCGTGTGGTTTTAGTCGGTCCGAGTCCGACACACCACCCCGCCGCAAACCCCGGAGGGGTGACGGTCCGAGGGGATTTCCACACGTTGAAAAAAAAAAAAAAAAAAAAGGATTTGTTCCAAGTTTTCCTTCTCTTTGCAGTGCTGTTGTCCTGCGTATCACCACACGGACAAGATAGTATACACTGAAAGGAATAAAAATATGTCACTCTTTTGCCATATGCTGAGAGACTGTTGATTTCAACTTACGAACGACAAATAGACATAAAGTGAGAATGAGACTAAATGTCACCGTTTTCGTTTGCAATATATACTATATCTGTCAGTGAAACAAGAGAGTTAGATTTAACCGTAGTTATTTGTTCTTTTTATACGTAGATATATTTTCAATATCTTTTATAGCTAAGGGAATATACGACCAATTTGTTGCGCCATGTGCAATTGTACTGGTCCATAGGGAAGTAGTTATTCAGTCCAAATTAACAGAATTAGGAGGCGGTTGTTACCTTATGAAAATATATACGACTCGAGAGAGAGAATAGTCTTAATTTTGATTAAGGAAAAGCCATAGGGTATAATAATCTCTTTAGGATTATAAATATCATCTGTAGTTTTTTTATGATATTACGGGTCACACATTTGCAAATCATAATTCATAATTTAGGTGTTCAACGGTGTTACATTTTTATTCTTATATGTCCTGTTTGGTCTACCTTAACGGCATGCAAAAATTGGTAAACAATAATTGTCAATTAATTTAGAATAATAAATTACATTTGTCAATAAACATATCAAATAAAATGTCAATATAAAAATGTCAAAATATTACAATTATACTTTAAGTTACAAATGTATTTACTTGATTCAGCAACAATAATAAGATCATCCCAATTAGTAACAATGCAAAAACATTCTTATTTTCCTCAAAGAAAGTCACTTATTGCATAGTAGCATTTCTTTATTAAAAAGTCATGTAGGCACTTCTCAAACAGATTAATAATTAGATTGTACGCTGTCATTAACTTGGAATACTATTGTATGTATATCCTGAATTGGTGTACAATTAAGATTCATTCCATTCTAAATTCTATTCCATTAATATTTAACTTTTTAAATTCATTAGGTATCCTGTTATATGAGTGGTGCGAAGCCTACCGCGTGTATATGTCCTTCTACTTCGTGTAACAGTGTCTGCAAAAGTCTCAAATAATTCAGGATTTAATTAGATGAAAGTGGCAGTTTCAAATATATAAAGACAGTAAAGTTAAGATATCGTGAGTTACAAAGTATTATTTACAGCTATCTCTACTATTTAAACTAAAAATGGCTTGAATACATATTTTTTGGGCTTTAAAAACTATATCTTCATGTGTGGAGTTGCTCCAGAATTGAAAGACATTAAGTACAGTATTCTTTTAAAAGTAAATAGTAGTCAGCTGTTAGCAACTTACTATTCATAATTGAACGTTTTAACATTAGAGTCAGTAGGTTTTGATAACCCCTTCGCAGAACCAGCTGAGTCCTATGAACTGATGACTATGATTGTAGTAGTGTTAAGACATTTATGAATAAGTATTTCATTGTTATCTTCTAGGTATACTTTATTATATTAGTCTTAAGTGAATGCCTTGCGTCGCTTTTTTATCTTGCCTACTTGCGATGACAACACAATATTTTAATAAGTTTGTGTGTTTTTGCCAATCAGGATCTTCACAATTAACGATAATTTCAATATCTGACAAGACGGTAGTATTTTGTGATATGTACTTAGGTGTGTGCTGAAGCAAGTGACTTATTTATTACTATTTTAGTCTTTAATGATTAAATAATCATCATTCAAAACAAAAAAAAGACACAAAGCAAGCTTTAGAACAGATTTATGAGTTTATTATATCAAGGGACATAAGAATATCAAAGGACGTAGGAGCATGTTCAAAGGATAGAGTTCTTGAAAATCTTCTTTATTCTGCCAGGGCTTAAGTATGCAATACACCTTTAAATTAATTGATTTTTATTATTGTAAGACTGTAATATTAAAAAAGTAATAAACACAATAAAAAATTATCTGACTTGACAATGCCAATCACAGACCAGTTGCTCTTGATTCCAGAAGAGGTTAGCAGGGCATTGAAACTTGACACCTACAAAACCATCCCTGTTATCCGGGACACACATGTAGAAAAATGAACAATTTTGAGAATGGGGTATGAAGCCTTCTTGTTTGCAGGAATACTGTTGTGCTGATTCTGAAACATTAAGTGTTCATTGAATTATCTGTTAGAAATTACCTTGAGCTTCATTAGACGAAAAAGATTTTGTATCAATAAATATGATTCTAAAAATAAATAATATAATATCATGACAGTAAGTACCAGAATTTATCATAGTTAAATTCAATTGATTAACACCTAGCAGACTATTTTAAATAGAATAACATATTTTGTTGGTAATAACAAAAAATTAAAAAAAACTACAATTTGAGTATAGAACCTAATAAATTATATTCTAAACACAAAGATTACTACCTGTTGTACTTGTCCCAGAAGTTATACTTGAACTTAATGTTGAAGTAGCAGAACCAATAGTAGAGGGTCTAGTTGTTGTGCTATCAACATGCTCAATTTCATTATCGAGTGCTTGATTAATTGCTTTTAGTAAAGGATTAGCACCCTCACCACAAAGACCCTTAAAATCATCAGATTCAATACTCCACATCATCACTTTATTAATGCCAAGAGTTTTAGCGTAATCAACTTTGATGACAATCGATTCAGGATCATCATATGATACCCAATTATTATCTTTGAAAGCGTAGGGTACTTTGGCTAAACTGTCATAGCGCTTTGTCCATGACTCTGTTTGAAGTTTGAAGCAAAACTGAAAGAATATAAACATAAGCAGTCTAAGTCTTACTATTTTAAAATTATATCAAATTAACTTCAATTAATTTATTAATTAACTTAATCTATTTTTTCAGCAATAATGGTATTATATTCATATTCAATGGCTTTAGAGTTCCATAGTAAAGTAGCAAATTTACTGATCCACCGCTATGTATTTTCTAGAGACCGAGTTTGAGATCACGAGAGGACAGAAATATTCCACAAGCCAAAAATAGTAGACGTTTAATTAAACACATCGATAAGCAGGAAAATGGTTGAAGTAAGTGGTGAAATTTTCCTTTACACATCAAAGGTATATTCCACGTACTTAGACGCGAAATATCAAAATTTAATTTAAAGACATCTGTAGCATCGCTGGGTAAAGTTTTCCGAACTTGGTGTCAGTTGTTCTTAAGATAACTTAAATATGACTTGGGTGTGTTGCCTTACAACTTTCATCTTTGTTCATTAAAGGTGGAAGCATATTACTTTACTGTCTAGTGTATTTCTATGTTTGTAGTAACTGAAATACTTTGAAGTAAGTTAGTAAGTTATTTATGCTATAGAATACACTTTAATATTAACGTAGATGTGGATAGTAGGTACATTATTTGGTATATAGTATGTTGTGCTATATATACATGATGCCACTACCTATAGCTTTAAAATTTAATATTAGAAACTGAAGTAGTTTAGACTAACGCAGATTCTCACGTTAACATCAACTACAAAATTATAGCCTATATCGATGGTATAAAAAATAAACTTACTTCATTATAACCCATAGTTCCAGGGCTGACGGTATACGGTCCAGAGAGACCAGCTCCATTCGCAGGCGCTCGGACACCATTGTTATTAGAGTTCACCAACCTAAATGTACGAGCATGAAATGGAACGCCTACGGCTAATTTTTCTGGTGGGCAACCTGGAAATCACAGTACATTTAGACTCAAAATTGAACTAACTATATTTTCACTTCAGGATGATACATTAAATTGGGTCTAAAGTATATTAGAATATCAAAAAGTTTATGCTTATCGCTGTTACAATAAATAAAGTACGAAGCACCAGGCAACTTAGATTAAAAAGGGGTAATATATTTCAAAGTAATCAGTGCCGATTTTGTCTAAATTCCAATAAAATTATGTTCTCTTGACACAAAATATTGTTTTGGATTGTGATTCTTTGAAGTTGACTTTTGACATTTAGCCATTTACTTTAATAATCTATTGTTTTATTATAATTTTAAACAAAAAGCCCGAATAAACTTTTAAGTTTTTCTATTCACAAGGTTTTCAAATTACCTGAATTTATCCAGAAGTGCAAAGACTTAGCAACAGTATACCAGTTTATTGGCTTTGAATCATCTTCGTATCCTTCTCCTCTGTGTAGGGGAGAATTGTGACCAGTCACCGGATCCCAGGATCCAGCCATATCATACGACATGAGGTTTATAATATCTAAGTACCTATAAACAATTGTTGGAGTTTAGGTTTTGCTTTATGTCACGTGTTAAGTGAAAGGTGATTATTTGTGGTAAGAATGATTAAAATCCGTTAAGTGTGACAGGTTTTACCAATTGTAATACCTTCACCAATAACTACACGATCCAATACACCGTCACCAAATATTGCACTACAATTTCATTATTTAAAGAGGTGAGAGCACGCGTTGAAGACGCTAGGCATGGAAACATCCTCGCTATAAATGGCTGAGACCTATTTCTTAGCGTTCCATAGATTCACCGTGCGGGTGCCGGGTCCATCGCGTGATAGATGAGGGCAACGCCTGGTAAAACAGTACTACTAATGACGTAAACGTGAATAGAACTTAGCTCAAAGATGTTGTTGCGTTTTATTAAAAATGGTTGTAGGTATAATTGTAACATGATTACGAGTTTCTTTTAAGCAAGATTTAAATTCAGTTTCTAAAACATTAAATTAAACTAGCCGAGATATAGCTGGGACATCATAAGATAAAATTGCCATTTCTTCAATAGCTGCTACAGCGGCGGTTAATAGAAAGCCATGTGAATCAAACGCTTCTCTCAATTCTTTCAATAGCTGTGTGAAGTTATCGATATCCGCTTTTCCATGAACAGTATCTCTGCGATTAGGATATTCCCAATCGAGGTCTAGACCATCAAAACCATAGGTTGTGAGCATTCTTAATATGCTGTTGATGAAGTTTCTCCTTAATCCTGTACTAGCGGCCATCTGAAACATTGCATTATTGTGGGGGGGTATTAACTGGTACGCATCAACTAATGTTTTTTTTTGAATATTACACTGTTATTCAAAAGTTTTCAAAACAATTACACTTTAGTGTAATTTTTAAAACTGTTATCGCTGTTATTATTATATGACATTGGCATAGTTAAAATCATCAGTATAACTATCGTAACTATTACGGACTACTTACAATGGAGTACTTTGCCGATCCTTCATTCCATCCTCCAACTGCCAAAAGAGTTTTTAATCGCGGATTTTTCTGTTTCAGGGCATTGAATTTCCTAAAGTTATCTGAAATTTAATTTTTATTAACTTGACATGAACTTGATAGTAGAAAAAGTTCAGTTTCTCACAGTATTTTGCTATATATTATTCAAATTTCACTTGATTTATTACCCAAATTTTCATACATTAAAGTCGATTGAAGGTGCTTTGAGGTAATTCAAACGTGTAAACGTTAAGACAAGTGTATGGTCATTTGATATGTAGTAGTTTAATTTTATCATCAATATACTCTCGTTTACTTCTTATACCAAACGTAACAAACTCATGCTGTGTATAAAATGGCACAAAACAGTTATCTCCATCGTTTGTTGACTTAACTTACTTCCCCAACGTTTTATTAAAGTACGTAATATTTTAACAATCCAATATTGAATATTATGTTTATATAGGTTTTAATTCTTTTAAATTAATTTTAAGACACTTTTATAAAATATAAGAGGGCACAACTCTATCGAGGGTACGAGTTAAACTCGAAAAATGAGTTTTTATATAATAGGTGCAAACGAAACCATAGCGCGATCTAAACGCCTTTTGAATACTAAGTAAACAAAATAATTAAAACTGAGTTTGCTATCTACCATCATGCTTACACTTACCTCTGCCCCAATTGTCCGGTAGATCCAAATAAGGATCCAGAGAAATAACTTCACCTTGGCTGTTAATTCCAGCGAAAGCGTAAATAAGATGATTACACAGTCGAGGATCAATATTTTCTACGTCAAACTTCCCATTTCCTTGTCGATACGTGGCCCAAGTGCCATAGTAGCAAATTACTGCGTCTGGAAAATAAATTATACTGTAAGAGCAATTTCTTAAATGGGTTATCACTTATTTTTTGTGGTTGAGCCATGGCTTAGCACATATGGGCCGGCTCGACCGGAGTAATACACGGCCTCACAGAAAACTAGGGTCAAGCAATTCTTTCGTAACTTTTCGTCGAGTGGGTGTGGTTATTGGTGCCCAAATTCCCCTTCCTCCTCCTCTATTCTGGGAAAGGTGGCACGCCAAAAGCGTCGACGCACTTTTATTTTTTCAGTTGCATGTGTCCATGGTTGGCGTTAGTCACTTACTTACCCTTCTGCTCTTTTGAAAATCATTCGTTTTCCCTTGAGTTTTGTAAAGGGACAAGTTAGGTCTAAACTAACAAAAAAAAAAAACCTTTTACCTTATTACTATATTAATGTATCATTTGGGACCTTATGAGCTATAATTATTCAGTAATTTTATAGTTCCATGTTTAGAAACTAGCTACACTACCTCAAACATTTTAACTATTCACGTTTAAAGACATGCTAAGTATGCCATAAAATAATCATTTCTTTGTCCATCTGTATGTCTTCCTGCCAATGTTTTTTCAAGAACGCTGTAAATAAGCCGTCGGTAATAAAACAAATGTTAGGATTAGAACTTCAAGCTGAAAGAGATAGAGAAAATGAATTGCTGCGTTTTTTTACCTTTAAAAGGGACAAAAGAGATTAAAAGGATGGTAACACGTGATTGACACCAGTGTGGTATAGAATGTCATTGACTTTCGGTCAATGACACAGTGATATCGCTCTACATCAATTGTATCACTAGGTGACGATAACCATTTACTACCTGAACCCCCGTGTTCTGTTCTGACGCCTTATGAATACATTTTTATTCATGAAGTAGGTTGCTAAAGAAATACATTAAATGATGTTTTTTTATATATAAAAGTTATATATGCTCCAATTACGTTACTAAAAATAGTGAAAATGCTGTCAATAAATGAAACCCTAGGGGGGGGGGGGGGGTTTCTCAGTTCTGGAAATTTTGTTGTCAACGTTACACGTCTTTTATTAGGCTATAACTTTTGCTGTAGAGGCATGGCATTATATTGTCAAACTATTTAAAAAGGGCTGGTTTCATAAAGAAGCTGGAGGTATGGGTGATGAATTAACTTAAGAGTTAACGCTAAGATGTAAGGAGCTATTTGAAGCGAAAAATTAAAGTCGATGTAAAATAGATGACATACGACAATTTTAAACAATCATGGTCAAGGGCTGGCAGCTGTGATTGTTGGGAAAGAGATAATGTTCAGTGCTTGGTAAGATCGAAAGAGAATTGTGCATTATGCACTGCAACCTGGTGAAACCATATATCCGGTCTTGTTTTACTGTGCAGGACTCGAACGTTTAAATGAAGCAATCTAAAGAGCGGCCAAAGGCTGTGTTAATTATAATGAAAGAGTGCAAATACAATTGGCCAACAAAAAGGTAGTCGTGTTCCAATATAATAATATATGGTCATACACTCACACACACTTTATAACTAGAAAACAATAGATGGACATTGGTTAGGTTAGTAGGCTAAAAACCTCTTTTTATGTCAGAGGGGGCAGACGTGCAGACGGGTCACCTAATGGAAAGTGACTATCGCCGCCCATGAACGTCTGCAACTTAGGAGACACAAACGCGTTGTCTTCCTTTTAGAAAGGAGTACGGTCTTATCTTGAAGGTTTGAAAGTCGTCCTGAAGGCCGTCGGCCTTTGAAGGTCTCTATCATTCTAGTAATCACATCACATTAACCGCCTTTAATAGTCCATTGCTGGATTAGGGCTCTCGTTAGAAAGGAGGTTTTGGCCTAATATATCACGCTGGCCAGACGGGTTAGTATAGGGTTTGTTTTAAGTTTTCCTTCTCTTTAGAGTGATGTCGTCCTGCGTAGTTTGCTCCCTTAGTTGACACTTACGATACCCACAGCATGAATAGGGGTAGTGGCACTCCGTATTCTTAATCCGTCACCACTCGGACATGAAAATATATGTTTATTATTTAATAGTTATCGGAGAGTACATATAAATAGAAATATCTTACTTACTTTCACTACACATAGCCAAACTGATGGCTAATAACAGAAACACGGATACCTCGATAGACCGCATTATTGTCGATTGTGTTAATATTACTGATAATTCCTGACTGATAGTATATAAAGATTTCCTTATCTTGAGTAATTGTTATCGGACGTTAATCACTGTGTAACTTGATGAATATTCGCAGTCTTGTCTGTCTGTTTATTTAAAGTACCAATAGTAGTATTGAAAATGTGAAGAAGACGGTTGGTCCTTTGAACTAAGAAGTTAGTTTTCAAGAATTATTTGACTTCATGAGTTATTTTGCAGAGAAGCAAAGATAGATAAGTCTGTACTAAATGTATTTTTTATGTATGTTTACCGATTTTTTCGTCATCTACGGATCGATTTAAAAAATGTCAGAAAACAAGAGCGCATGCAATGTGCTCGTAGATTTTTCTTAACATTTATCGGCACTGACTACAGACCAGAAGATTCATAATGCTGTAATTAAAGAGCTACATGTCTTTTCATTTTTACTTTGTAGTAGCCTTTTTATGTTTAATTTGAGTGTTTTTAGTTTTAAAATAAAAAGAAAAAACTATATATATATATCTTTTTAAGTGTTAGAGTCCCCTATTCTTAACAGTTATAAGTGGTAACTCATGAAATAAGTTTTACGGATACAAAAATATTGTATCGAGAAAGTTCTATTGATTTTCCTCATTCTTCGCTTCTCTTTTTATGTGAGACATTATTTTCTAATATTTCTTCCTAACCAAAGTGTAGTTTACCTCAATAATTATTTCTACAACAACTCTCTGTAGACTGCCTAAAATTCATTAAATGTTAAATATATTAAAATAATTAAATGCAATAAAATTTTTACAAGCGAAGCTAAGAAATGCTTTATATGATATTATTATTAGTTTACTTGCATTTTTTATCTGTATTTCGTAGTCATTGAACATATCAATAGAATTAAGCACCGTGATTTAGTTTAAGGAATCGAGTGACGTCCATATGTAACCATCACTCATGGAAGAGTATGCCCAAAAATATACAGGGAAACGACATGACTGTACTTTTAATATAAGAAACAACAAAACAGCTTGACGATGCAACACTGAATAGTGTTTACTAAGACTTGTAAATGAATATCTAGGGTCCTAGGACCCTACTTGTACCTAAGAAATCGTAGATATATGTATTTTTAATTATTTTATCCAAAACAGATAATATTTAGATTTACTGCCAGGCTTATACTGGATTGGAACAATATTTAAGCCGTTTTTATCGACCGATAATGTAGTTATTATGATGTAGTATTAATTACGTAATTAGTTTTATCTAATTAATTTTATTTTTAGAAATATGGGCAAGCAAAACATACCAAAATTTACAAAATGCAAAATAGTCCACGATATTTTTATTCTGAAAAATATATATCATAAAATTTTAGGCAAATTAAAATATGGGTCATCTAATAAAAACGAAAGAACTACGAGTACTTAGCACCAGTTTTCTGTGAAGCTATGATATCACTTCGGTATTATATATAAATACTCTTTAAGTGTTTATCACACAAAGGAGGTTTTGGCCTGCTATACCACACTGGCCAGTGGTAACGGATTAAGAATACAAAGTGTCACCACCCCAATTCTTAAGACGCAGTCATATTAATTAAATCATATAAATACCCTATTGCCTAATAATTTCAATTGTTCTTGAAATCTTAATGCGCTCTTCTAAAGTATTTTTTCCCTGCTGCGAATCACTGCAGTGTACGAGCAAGCCCTTAAATCTAATAAAAAAATTAGAACAAAGAACCTGTGTGAGATTACAATAAGAAACAAAAGCCTAGCGCGTATTTTCGTTTCTTGATTGCAAAAAAGACCCGACATAACTACATTTTTAAATTCTAATTATCTCGCTTAGTTGAAGCGCATTAAACTTTAATCCACCTCTTGATTGTTTACAGGCATTTTGAGCCGCGAAATTGATTACTAAAATCCAAATAGACCGAATCCTTGTGCACTGCGAGAGAATATTGAATTTTTAAAGCCATACACAGCTTTTATGTCAGGTTATGGTCTAGTTTCATTTGGTAAAACATTGCGGTAATAATTTATAGAGGCCGTCGGTTGGTCGTTCAAATAAAAGTCGAAAAAGTATCCCTACACCCTATGCGTTTTTTTTTCAGCCTACGAACGGACTAGCCATGTATTTTTTCGTGTCTAGAAACGCTGTGGAAACTGCTAAATGGATTTCGTGTGGATTTCAACGTTCTTTGTCCCGATATTGACTTTGAAGTGTACTTTTTAGCAATTGCGTTGGTCACGTTTCGAAATTTATAAACAGCTGTTCGACCAATAGATACGTGGTGGCTTTTGTAGTGCTGCTGAGTACAGTAAAAACGATTTAGGAAAATGTTTATTGAACTGTACACAGTAACGATTGCCAATATTTAACAATTCTCGGGTAAAAAAATGTTTTAATTCTTTTGGTCCCGTCAAAGTCGTTTCTTATCGCTCGCAAGAGGCTCAAGGAGGCCCAGGTGTTTTGGTATTGGTATTGGTTGTGGGCGCCGATTTCCGCATTTAGACTCAAGATGGTCCTTTATCGAGGACAGGTTGGCTAGGTGAGCCAACCAAGCTCCTTCCAGAAGCGCAGAAGCCTCCTGGGGCGTTCACTGGCTTCTAGGAGCGATTTTGTATCAGGGGAGGCCTCGGATTCTATGGACTGGACTGGACTTCGAATGGACTCTGTGGTATATACCACATCACCATCAAAAGCCTTCAGTAGTCCACTGGCCGGACAAAGGCCTCTCCCTTAGACAGATGGTTTTGGCCTCTGTGATATATACTATTAATCGCAAAGACTGAAACGAAATTATAAATTATATTTTTGACAAATCGAAGTCAATCAATTACTTTGAAAACCTTATCATGTATGTACCTTTAATAAATTATTTGCATTATGTGCGTATGTGTGTATTGTATATTTTATATGTTTTTTGACATAGTAATAATATCCTTTAAATTAATTAAAGCTATATTCAGCGGAATATCTAATTAAAAATCCATTTTGAATACATTTAAACAATTCTAAATTAAACACTTTGGTTGTTATCACATTATGTAGCATTATCCAAAAAACTAAATTAAATACGAGTATTATTCGGTTCTGTCGAATAGTTTGTCTTCGAGACGTATTGTTGTAACTTTCGCTGACAGCGCCTTGGTCGAAAACACTGACTGAAAAACATAAATGGAAGGCTTTACTTGGAATTTTTCAAGTCAATTGGATTGATCGAATAATTAGTAACACGAAAATGCAATGAAAAGCTTATAAACTTTCTGTATGTACCTACGAAATTGCCAATGATTTTATAACCATTAGTCAAATGGTACGCTGAAGTTGCAATTGGTTGCGTATTGTGTGGCGTTGTATAAAACGTACGTAATCACGTGTCGGTACTGATCTGTAGGAAATCGTTAGATGTTTCATGCTTGCTGCACCTCAATTGATGCTAACAAACTGTGCCATACTAAAAGTTGTCGAGTTGAAGTCACAATATATTTAATATAAGTTGTGAATAAGAACTTTGCTTTATTATTCCTAACAACTACTGGTTGCAGTAAGAGCACTGTTGAGCCTTTTTATTGTATTACGTGGTTGACAGTTTTCAATGTTGAGTCGCATTGTGTTCTCTTTTATTTCTCAAGGCGACGGTAGGTAGATACTAATTTCGGAAGAGAGAATTTTTGTCTGAGAAATTCAATCCCATGAATTGGTTCATTTAAATAAATGTTTTTTGTTTCTTTATTTAAGGGACTGTCTACCACTTGCATGACAAGAGTCCTTTGTAAGCGCTAAATTACATTTGGTTTCATCTTTATTTTTATGTATTACGATTTATGGTTGTTTTACATACTTTAATTGCGAAATCTAGAAATTGCAGTCTTGTTACTGTGTTTGCCAACATTTGGTGTACCTCTGTTCTCATTATTCCTGCTCCAAGGCGCTGCTCAGTTTCGTATCGTTAAGCTCCAAATACGGGTCAGTCAAAGATAATGTGCAAGACGTCTTCGTCCTTCGCTGGGTCACAGATATATATTTTTTATTTTTTTATTTTGACGAATGAAACCGGGCACAGGTCATAGTCGGGCTTCCTCTGATTCGAGTGCTGCCTCGTTAGCCAACTGGTCAGTGCGCTTGTTGCCGGCGTGGGCATTGATCCAGAATAAAGTTACATCTTTGCCCTGGATCAAGGCGCGGTCCATTTGTAGCGGAACATGGTATTCTTTAGATAATTATTATTTCTTTCAGAGTTGACGCGTATTGTCAACTTATAACATTGCAGAATCTTTAGCAGACCGTCAGATTTTGCTGCTTCACATTATAAATACCTATGGTACGTCCTGCCATTGCATATTTATTGAAATTGTTTCAGGCTTCGAATGCACTAACGAGCAGGTTTGAAATATATTTGATGCGTGAAATTTTGATTTATTTTGGTGTGGTGGTTTCTTCCTTATTTTAGTGGCAACTTTTTTGTTTTGTTTATTGCGGGCTACTGTAAACCTACACCAGTATTATTTTACTTTCTAAAAAAGAATATGGAAATATTTTATTCGTGATCGATCCTTACTTTCTCAGCTTTCGTGTTTTTTTTTATGCTATCGTCATGTGTTGTACCTATATCACTTTTGAGACAAAAACTTTATTATTATTAATATATTTGTAATTTATGTCATTATAGTAGTATCGTCATATATAAATCATAATGTTAGACATATTTTATCTGCACTAATTACTTGTTTAAAACGCGTACTTCAAAGGAGACCCAACTAACTTCTGTCGTATAAGGTTGCTATACTAGCTGTATCTCCTATAGTAGCTATAGTAAATAGGAGATATTTAAATTTACTAGGATATAAATGTTTCAATCTGTACAACCGTAACCAATAAAGGTAATTTTTAACAAAATTGTTTAATGTTAATAATAGTTAGACCTAAGATTTTGCTTTTAACTCACGCATTTATAATTTATCTAATACATAAATACAAATTCAAAACACATTTTCAAACGCATAACACGCTTTTCCTTTGCACACTACCCACTTCCGATTTCCTCTCTCTCTCAAATGTTGTGTCGATGCGTACGCACCAGATCCGCATAAAAAATCTAAAAAACAATAAGTGAATCTCCGAGATATACGTAAACTTATTTATAGTTCCGATTATCTAATGAAACATCTTATATAGAACCGGTGAAAAAAGGGGGATTGTTGGAGGGGTTGAAGCCATGTGCGCCCCTAAAGAACCAAGTATGTCACCTCCAAATGTTGTTATACAAAATGTTAAAATAAAATTATTATTCATTCTTAATAAATTATGAGTCACTCGTTATTTCAGAGTATTTATAATGGGTTTAACGGTATGTAAATTAAACTTTGGTGGTCATCTTGTCAATAACCACTCTGTGGAGGGCGCTGAGTTTGTTCTCTTGGTGTTCTTCTTCTTGATTCGGTCTTGGTGTGTAATTGGCTTCCTTTTATAGGCTTGTTGTTTTGTAGAGTTCCCATCACACATCAACTATCTATATGTCTTTATCTTCTTAGCAAAAAGACGTCCACTGGGCACGAGCCTACCCCATGTTTCCGCGATCTTCACCAGGTCGTCGGTTCATCTAGTAGGGCCACCCCCGCCCACGCCCCGTCTTCCGTTACGCGGCGCCACTCATGAACTCTTTGGCTTCATCAGCCATTATTTCTGCGAGCATTGTGCCTACATAAATGTACCTACACAATGTCTATGTGCACCAACATATTATCACATCATAGTACCTAGTAGTAGTATTTTAAAAAACCTTTAGCGAAACAAAATTTAACAAATAAATCTACACTCACAAAGTTTTGTGCAGTGCTCACCTTTAAAGTAGGAGATATCCTATACATAGAGAATATCTCAAAAAGATATTACGTACTGTGATCCGGCAACGTGATCCATTTAGCCAATCTTTCATCAGTACTGTTACAGCTATGGCTTGGGTCATACTGGTCGCAAACTGTCTGAACTCGGTTATGTCATTTAAAGTGACGAATAAGTTTAAATGTTGACTGATATTGAATTGTTTTTATTTCTTTTAAGCTTCAATTTTAAAAACACTCCATTAATCACGGAAACGGATGATCTATAATTATTAATCTTGTGCTGTCAACGTCATTACGTCATAAAATGTCATAATGTTTAAACATTTTAAAGTTTAAAAAATAACTTACTAAGCCCCTAAAAGAATAATGAAATATTGCGACGACAGAGTAATGATTGTATAGACATTATACATAGTATTATAAACCAACGAGATAAGTAAAATGGTTATTTCGTTGCTTTGTATGCCGTGAAAGTGGGTGCGAGGGGTATACATGCTAAATTCCTCTATAACCTGCTTAAAAACCTTGAATTGCCAAGAGCTTCAGTAAGCTCTTTTCTTGAACGAGTATCCAAAGCGGCATTGTTAGGCTCGTATCAAATATGGTTAGGTAGAGGGGGTAACACAGCGAACAGCGAAGGAGTACTCCCTAAACCTATCCCTGGGTCGCATTTCCGAGGCGCTGTCGAAGTAGCATGTATTGCCCCCATCTATCATGCAATGGACCCGGCACCCGCACGGTGAATCCATGGAATGCTAAGAAATAGGTATTTTAGTTACAATACACCAATGAGATTATGAATGAAATTAAAACAGGCTTAAATCAAGTAAGAAACCCAAGGAATCGATATGTGAATGTACAAATTGAATTTGGTCAAAATTAATAATTAATTATCGCGATCACGTAACACGTACGAGTATTATTACTGTATGTATGTACATAATTATATTTGATTGAAGGCGAAAGTTTAAAACTCTGTGCTGTTAAATATTTAATAAGATTGATGATTTATTCATCTGTCTTATCATGATGTTTGCTTGTTTGATTATAAAGTAAAATATTACTGAAGCAATTGTACGCACATTGCGAATAACTTGACGAAATACACAGGTGTTTATTAAAGTAAATGCCGAATGTGACTTTTAGACAATTAATAATTCATTACTCTGAAAACTTAGGCGCTTGACATTGTTTCTTAACATTCGTAAGGGGCTTTTATAAAGCGAGCTATTCATTAAGCGATATCTGAGAATATGAATTTTCAATTTCACATTAAATTAAAGTACTCAGTCTTGAGGCCTATTTTTTCCTTTAAAAAGACAGCTCCAGCATTAGGAATATAGCCTGTGTTGATTGGATTTTACAAACATCCCATGAGGGGGTCAAACCCACAACATTCACACACACACGTAGTAGTAAGCGGCGTGGCGACCGTTTAAACTAAAAGGTGCCATGTAATCTCACTCACTCGATGATAGCAACGATAGTATTACCTAGCACTGGTTTTCTACGAGGTCGTAGTATCATTCCGATCGAGCTGTCCATATGCCGAAGCATAGTTCTCCCGCGGTATCGAACAAGCCTATCGAATCTAATCAACAACAAACTGAAGAGAATGCAAAGACAATTGATGCTTGTTGGCAATCATGGTGGGCTTTGATTTCCTATAGAACACATGGTACTGTTTTTGTTTCGAAACAGAACCCTAACGCCTAAAGCCTTTATGTATAATTTTTTTTTGTACATAATAAAGAACTAATATAATTTAATTTTATCTTTATTTCATCATGTTTATTGTTTATATACATATATCGCATCAGCGATAGCAATCCTTATTCTGTAACAAAACAAGAATGATGTTTCGCACAGGACGTAGAAAATTTCGAAATGTGAATACTTTATCGTAATAATTTATGGTTATATTGTTCTGCAAAGATGTTTATAAAAGACAAGTGCGACTAGTTACTTCACCCTTGGAGTTACGCAGAAACATGAGTAAATGGTTATTTGATAATTCAGAGATAGCGTGATCTATTAGTGAGATATTAATTTGCAAAGTTTATAAATTAGGGGCAAGGTTACTAAACAAGCACAATTTTGCAGTGACATAGTTTTGGCAATTTAATATAAAAATAAAAACCGAAATTAAGGTACAAATTAACGACTTTTGGTTTTGCGCTGATTTGTATTGTATGTATGTTTAGATGGACAGTTTTTCCACAAACACAATTTAAGAAACGAAATAAGTAATAAATACTATATTTAATGTTCAATCTCTCATTCTTTCATTCATACAATCGCATAAGCTAACATACATACGTAGATGTAGAAATTACGAAATCCCCTTTTGCCTCAGAGTATAATAAAACACTCAGTGAAACAGCCATGATTAACAAGATACGATTTCTCGGTTCTTCAACTGGTTGTTTGTCCTCTTTCTGATGATTTATATTTATAGCCAAGTAGTCGTTAATCCAACTTAATAACTGTTTATGGGTCGTAAACTTCTGTACTGTTCTCACAAATAACATTTCAAAATTACTTACCAATTTCTGTAGTCAGTCGAGAATTTGTGATTTGGTTTTTTGTTTTTTCCTCCTGTACACTAAGACCAGCAACAGTGATCCACGAATACACCGACTTATGTCACTCGTTAAACCCCTAGAAAAGTTTAACCCGTGACGAAACACACCATTATCAACAGCCTTTAGTAGTCTACTGCTGGACATAGGCCCCTCTTTAGAAATAAGGTTCAACGATACCACGTTGGCCAGCCAGTAGGTCCGAGTATAGGGTTTGCGTCAAGTTTCCTTTCCCTTTGCAGCACTGTTGTTCTTCGCAGTTGCTCCCTTAGTCGGCTTTTACAACACGCACAGGAAGAATAGGGGTATTAACAGTCTGTATTCTTAATCCTACATCATACGGCGGCAATGAAATTAATCAGAAGTAAATTGGAGGAGTTGGAAATTTAATCCACTTCACCCTTTAGTAAAGCGGGAAACAATTGTTAATTGGTATTCATTGGTATGGTATTGGTTCGGCTAAAGGGATCAGATTTTCAATAGCATGACCATGTCCTACTCAAGTTATTGTTTATACTTCCCAATTTATCCGGATAAGCAACCTCCCTTTTCATCCATTGCATTCTCATCTCACTAACTTTTCCGTTTATAAGAGAATCTCAATTTTACCATTCAATCCTACATTGCCCGGTTGACGGCTACAAGCTTGCACCCTATTAAGTGAGTCGAATTATAATTTAGAGTCGGCAAATCGGTTTAATAGGCCGTTTTCAAGGAATTAGGCGTGAGTGTTTGAAGATGCGATGATGATGATATTTGTAATTAAATTCCATTAAATTTGTAAATGTCAATTTTTAGTAGTTTCTTACATAATATGAATTTTGAGATGGGGCAAACAGAACAAGTCATGCGAATAAGTAAATGCTGAAAATTAAATGCAAAAAGTGTTTTAATAGCAATCTAAAATATCATTGGTATTGCATTCGTTTTATTAACTTTTTATATTCAGTCATTAATTCACAAAAGTTTTACATTTTTGAAACAGGATTACTTACTAACCGTCAGTGAAGTTATAACAGTTTGTAGATTAAAATGTCAACTTTACAAGGGAGCGAAATAACTGTAGCACTGAAAATGGAACAAAATTTTGTGATAGGTTTTCACATGAATGTGGAATTGTTTTTTATTATTAACAACACTTAATTTTTAATTAGAAATGTTTGAATAAATACTAGCACTCTGTATATCAGTGGAAAAAAAACGTGATCTTCATAAATTCCAAATTAATTACAAAATAATAATATTTTTTATTAATCAGATTATGAACTTAAAAATGATCCGCTAACATAACAGCAAAAGTAATGGAATAGACAATAAACATTACTCTATCAATAACTTCCGCTAGTTCTCTTTTATCACAATATGTTCTCTGGGTCTCACTCTCCATCTCTTCTACGTCTGAACCTCTGGTTGAGGTTGGCTCTTCGTCTTCTTGGATAATGTAACTTCCATTAACAAGTACCTGACAATTATAAAAATGTAATTGTGAAGTTTGTAATGTACAGTCAAAGTGTGAAAAAAGTGACTGGTACAGTCACTCAACTATTTTTATTATTGCTTTTGTTGTTTTTACAGATAACACACTTAGAACTTAAAGTAAATTAAGTAATTAGTGATAAGTATTGTAACTCATTTGTACAAAAAGAGACAATTTGAAAGTTGTGTATCAGTGGGCCTTATACAGTACAGCTCACAAGTTTATTATTACATAAAGAACCGATACTTCCTTCTTATTTTTATGCATGAACATGCTAAGAGCTGCAAATAAATAAAATATTATTCACGAGTATATCAGTACCTTGTAAGCTGGTAAACAAAATATGAATCGAAAGATGCGCCCTGTGAATACCCGTTGCATGGTGTCTGAGTTGCATATTTTCTCCATAGTCGTGGTTATCAGCAGAACTTGTATCAACAATGCTAAGAGTACACCTCCCAAAACAACGGTGTAGAGGACCACTGTAAATTAACATCGTTTATTATAAGTAGAAATCTTACCTATGATTCCTACTATAATTGAGTCTTGAGAGAGTTACTTTATATTATATTTAAAAAACACTATTAACAAAATTGCTGCTTTTGTACTGTTATATAAGGTTATCAAAGACTTATTACATAGGGTTAGCAAAGTACAAGTGTTATTACAGTTGTATCGAATATTAATGAGTATCGCTAACCACGCGATGATCAGGCTGGTCGTGTGCCTGCTAAACATGCCATAATGTATAAAACATGTAGTTTAGTAGTACAATAAGTTTTCTTGTCTATGCATAAAACGGTTAAGGTTTTGGCAATCAATCCAGATATTTAAAAATTGAATTTTATCCTAAAAAAAGTTACCTATGTGGCAAAACTTTATGTGTTAAGGTATCACAGTGTAACAAAAGTTCACATCAACTTTTATAATATTAATTAGAATTATATGATCGGAGAGTGCTTGTAGAATGCGGATTGAGTGTAATTTTGTGAACGGTTTATTTGAAAACCCTAATTACTAGCCAACATTGTTATATTAAAAAAATAATCTACTTAAACGGGCAGAGGTTCTCAATTCATCTCAATATTGCTTTTATCATGTAATTGAGACTATCTTAAAAATTAATTATATTCATAATCAGAGATTTAAGAGTAAGACATAAAAGAGAACTTATATACAACTTACAAATAGAAGGCATGTTGTGACATGGTATCAAGTAGTCGATGTAACAGAGACCCATACATACGATGATGCTGCATCCGGCGAAGTACCAGACTCTGCTCATAGTCAGAGGCTCGCTCCAAAAGGATAAGAGAACAAACATTACCAACACTGCAACGGAATATTAAAATAGGCATTAATGATTGCGCAATAGGGTTCATGGATTTGACACCAACTCTATGTACATTTTGCAAATGCTTTTTTTTTAAATTATTTCATGTGCAGAAATCCTTGACGTGTCTGAATTTAATAGGCCAGCAACACACTTGTGGCTTTTCAGTTACAGGTGTCCATGAGCGGCGGTTGTAACTTACCATCCCGTGAATCGACTCCTACTTTGCCTCTATATCAAAAAAGTAAAAACAAATCAGATCAGTACCTCACCTCCATTTTTCGCCTAATTGTTAAGTCTCTATTGATGGGCTATAAATTAGTCAGTGAAAAGTTAGGAACCGTGTTATTCCCTGCCGTCTTACGAAGACTACACCAAGTAATTAAAATGTCTAGGTCAGATCTAGTAGTATTTTAGTATTATCACCATTTATTTTACTTGTCTTATTTTGTTTTCTTTTTTTTATGGAAAAGGGGTAAACGAGCGGAAGGGTCACCTGATCCAAAGTGACTAAAGTTCATACTTCCCAGAAATACATACGACATTAACCTAACACTTAACAATCCATTTGCAGATGTCAATAATTTATTATCAGATCTTATGAGCTAACACTTGATGCGCTGGCAATTGTTGAATTTGAGAAAGATTTAATAAAAAAATACTTTTATTTTAACTTAACAGTTTAAATAAAAGTATTCTTTTAAGTAGTTTAAACGTAAAGTAACAACGCACTTGACGTCGTTAAAGGGGATTGTTCATGCACTTACCTAATAAAGGTGTATAGAATACGATGTTATAAGGTGTAGCTGATCTCCTAAGACTCAATTTGATGATGAGCCTATCGCTCTGATGAGTTAGGTTGTCATTCGGTAAGTAAACCGAATCCCATGTTGTGGGTGTAATCACTAACTGATTTGTGCTTGTTTCCCATTCGTTTCTCACTGTTGCATCCATGTCTGAAAACTATAAACAGGTTTACAAACTTTTTAAATGGGAATTAACGCGATCACGATAGATATTAAGTCAGCTTGTGACCACGGCAAGTGCAACCTGGGCTTCAATTCTGCTTTTTAAAATATTGTATCAATTGATCATCGATGGACTATCGTCAGAATAGTTTTTACTTTTCGTAGTATACTAACTATGTAAGATCAATGGCCTCATGGACGAATTGTTATTGAACTGCCACTGATACAAATGTCGTCGATGTCTTTGTGATAGTTTGGTAAACTATAAATTTTAAATTTGTTAGTAAATGAGATATCACCATTGACAAACCATTGCCAGTCTATCGACACTGCGAATTTATGTTAATAGAATACCGATATAATGACCGATGTCAATGGCATCTCAATAGTATGTCCATGAAATGAAAGTGGCTTGTATGTAAACATAAAATAGCAAACTTGAGGTCCTGATCAAAACGTCAGGCAATTCAAAGGTATGTTAGTACTTGCCTTGATTCCCGTAAACATTATTATACATCAACAAGTTTGTACATTGCCAACTACATTAAAAGAGTCGAGATATATAGATGTATCACATCGAGATGTTGTATAATTATTATCAATGCTGCTATACATATGCCTTCCTCAGTGTCTTCCAAGCAGTGCGATGAGAAACATACACGGTCGGTCTCTCGATTTCCCGTACAACGTCATATGTAAACTTTGTCAAAAAAGTCTATTGCTGGTCTTTATTGACTTAAATGTTGGTTGGAAATCGTATATACTCAATATTATAAATACATAGTAACAGTCTATCGTTTCTATTCGTTCGTTGTCATGCTTAAACCGAATTCGTTTGTATTTTCTTGTAGACTGAAAGATCTTTTGAGAAGGACATTAATTTGCTATTTTTTGTCACAAAAACAAAATTTAAATGGTCTGTTTTAGGGAATAAAAGTTTGCAGGGGCGACATTCTATGCAGTAGAAATCCCGGTCATAGTTGTGTAGTGACATTTATCTTATCACGTTTGTGACATCACTCTGATATATGCAGCGTCGCACGTGTCGCGTTGGCATAAAATACATGCAAATTTACACGTTGTAGGCTTCGATCATGTGCGCCATAGATGTTTGAAAAATACTTAATATATTTTTCAAACATCTATGGCGCATAGTATTATGTTATTTTACTATACAACTTAAAGAAATTTTGAACAAAATAGAAATTTATTATAGCGTGGATATAAAGTTTGTGGGTAAAAAGGGTGTCGTAGAAGGCGACTAAGGGCGCAAAACAACGCAGGACACCAGCACTGCAAAGAGAGGGAAAACTTGATACAATCCCTATACCAACCCGTCTGGCCAGCGTGGTATAGTAGGCCAAAACCTCCTTTCTAAGGAGAGGCCTATGTCCAGCAGTAGACTATTAAAGGCTGTTGATGTGTGATGTGATAAAGTTTTAATATTAATCAAAATCCATATTGAATATACAATTAAATTTTGCCATTTCAAGTAGCAATAGGGCAGGACTTCTCGGAACGCAATCAGGAGGCGGCAATGCGGAGGTTATCTTTGACGTATGCACGCAAATACTCCATGTGTGAATAGGTTACGAGTAATTAATGTTTTGTATAATATTAATGTTTTGTAAAATTTATATAGTAAGTTTATACGTATGTATTTAGAAAAAAAGTTTATACTATAAGTAAGTAATTATAGAAATCAGTCAATCTAGCTTTCATAATACAAGCTCCGCTTAGTTTGAAACTAGATGGCGAAATATTATTATTTTATTACTCACATGGTATATCATGGCATGTAAAATGCATAATTATATATACAGTGTGTGGTAGAACCATTTTTATACCACGAGGAATGGCAATTTTCTTCTTAAATACGCATTTCCTAACAAACAATCAAATATGTCATAGGTACACATTTATATATTTGATTAAAGCGTTGGGGCCATCACTAGCGCTATAAAAAAAAAAAATCTGTGCAAGTGACACCACGTTAACTAGAACGTGCCTTGAACCAGGTATTGTCCATTCTATTTCAGCGATAGAAAATCATGACATGAGCTTTTGCAAAAGGGTCATTAAAACGATGTTTGTCAGGTAGACATTTAGTCGTACTTTTTCGATTTCTGTCATTATGTCTAGGTAAAAATAGAAAGGTGCATCTACAATGGATGATTATGTTTTTTTTTTAACTTTGTGTACAAAGTAAATATGCTTATAGTAGCATGCATGAGTAGAGTGAGGAAAGTCGAGAACAAATACAACTTTTATAAAAATTTAACGTGGATGAAGACGGTTTCTTATGGTATTTAGAGCGTAAACGTAATTTCACGCTCTAAATACATAGTATGGAAATATTTTTCGTTGCGAATTACATACTTTGGGCAATGTAGAACAGTCTTCTCAAATATTTCAGAAATGTTATTAACAAGATGCTATGAGTTTACAAAATTTCGAAAGAAAAACTATCACATATATAAATTATTTATCTTTAATCTATTATAATATTTATACACAAAGTTAAGTTGGTTTGTGTACGCTTTAAAAATTTAAAAAACATCAAATGAGCTCAAATTTTGAAATGACATACAAACCGCTTCAAAGATTGTTTTTAACTACTTATTGCGTCAGTTTTATTCCTGATTGCCCATCAATGCAACCATAATGTGCCACAGCGAAGCGTGGCAGCGTTCAGCTAGTTCTTTAAATACGAACAAAGATCATGAAAGTTCTATTTCTTAAAGAAATAATTGTTTTGCTTAAAAATAATACTAATCATGATACTTACGATTTGCATCTTATTGTCATAGGGCTCCATAATATTGATTGTGATTTTATCGTGAACCTCCCATGGTTGAATAACTATTGAACAGTCGTATTCATCGGACGGCCATCTGGCGAAGTAAATATTAGTTAATTATTTATACAGCCACAGATTGTAGGTTCGATACCCACAAAGTACAAACAATAATTTCTTCTGTGTTTAGGTGTAATTTATGATCAGTAATATACGATTAGAATACGATTGTTTATCATTGTAATCCTTAATTTATTAAATTACTAAAATGTAATGTATTCAACTTTAAAGTTTGTAAATAAATACATAGCCTGCAGCTATATATTGCAAACTAAAATTAAAACTCCCAAGTGATTCGTAGGATTGTCAATCGTGGATATGCCGGAGCAATCAATGAAAAACTTCTCTCTCTGTTCTCGGGTGCCAGATTAATTGTTGCGGTAGGGGATAGCGTGGCGGCCTGATCGCACCAAAAATGTGATCAAGACGCAATGTTTAGTGATAGGATGATAGGCGCTATTCCAGGGGGAAGCCTCTGGCTTCTCCTGGAACAGGGCCTAATTAGGTGTGGCGTCGACCTGGGGGGGGGGGCCTAAGGCTGGTCGTCGGGGTGGTTTTTAGTGGAAACACTAGATACTCCTGGCTCCTGTATCCCAAGGAGCCGGAGATCCGAGTCCAACCGCCTGGTGGAGGGTAGAACACTTGCACTCTAAAACTGCTACTTGGCATCAAAATAATACGAGTATAACGTGTGCCATAATGGTATATATGTTTATAAAAGTGTTTGTGAATACTTACTTGCTGACGCCGTAATAATAGCACCACGTTAATACTCTTGTTTGAAAATGAAACGTTGCCTCACCACTGGATTCCATTGTAATTAGTTCTGAGTTTCTTCCTTCAAGTATATCCTGGTCGTTGGAACTATAGAATCAATAAAACAACAAATTCAGTTTGAGTAGTGCCCTGTTTTCAAAGTAGTAGTTCACATAAGGACTTAAAAGTCGAAGTCGAAATAGTCTCGTGAAAATGCACAACACACAGCACAACAAAATTTACAGTCATTTCATCAGTATTGTGATAGTTTCCCCGCCAGCCAGCCAGTAATGTTAATTTAATTAATTTAATTTAATAAATATTTAATTTGTAATCATATTCAAACGGAACAGATGAAAAAGGTGGATTGAGGTAATTAAAACGGATAGTTCAAGAGAGCAGAGGTAGAGAATGTCTCTACTCTCGGATGGGAAAATAATCTAACACTATAGTAGTTTGAAGAACCCAGGATCGCGTACTACACACATTCTGTAACTGAGTACTATAGTACATTCTGTAACTGAGTACTAGGACAGATCTATATCAACGAGCCATTGGTTTAAATATGTACAATATTATTTTCTCTTCGCCTTAAACCTGCATCTTGTCGTTTCGATTATTCGATTCGATTCGATAATACAATTGAGGTCCGGTGAGGTGTTTACACAAGTTTAAAAATGTACTTGTTTCCAGTTAGTATTACATTTTGTGTTTAAGTTCCTTACAACTGTGAGAACAAGTTTCGTGAAAATGTAGTGTGTACTTCACTATTTCTCAGTAATTAGGTACAAGTATAATAAAAGCATTGCAACACAATTCATGTAAATGATACAATTTCGTATGGTTAAGAATATTATTTACTTATTCAAGAGGCGATAAGAGTATTGTGCCCTGGGATATTGAATTGAGCTGTGAGATCATAAAGATATCGGATAACGGCAAATTGGTAAACAAACAACAATATTTAAATATTAAATATGGAATGAAAAAATCGGTTGTTGTTTTTGTCGACATTGTTTATTTTTATTGCATTAAATCTATGGTTCAGCCCATTGGTGAAAGGTTTAATACAACTAATTTAAAAGGGATATAAAGGAACATAAAAAAGAACTTCTGCTAAGTAATCTTTAGTTATTCTAGGTTTTAGCAAAGATTCTGATAGAAACTTCTTGGTGGGTCGAACCTGGTTTTAGTTCAAAACTTTATCTTTTTAATAAGTCTCATTTTATACGGTTGGCAAAACGGGGATATCGTAACCCTTACTTAGTAATCAAGCAATTTCTTTTTTTTAACTTAACATGAAGTTTTCTTGGACCAAGCAGTATCTAAGTAACTAAAAAGTAAAAGGTGACTTTTTTAATTCTATTAGACAGTATTCTGATAAAAATTATGGAAGAAATACTGTTTTTTAAATGATGTGTACTTGAGGAAAATAGCAGACGGATTATTATGACGGTGTACATATATTATTTCTCTTTTCGTGGTAATAATAAATTTGCGCTAACTATAATAACCAAATATATTTTTCGCATATATGTTGTCTGAAATTGTAATATTTCCAATACAATTGAATGCTTTTTTGCTTGAATCAGAGCTTAAAAAGTCATATGATACAAAATATATCGGTAAAGCTGTTATTGTAAAGCTTGTTACACAGTTAATAATTTAATGCTCCAAAGTTAAGGTCTAAATTGGAAAAGTACCAAGATAATTCTGTTGTTAATTTTCTTAAAATGTATTTGGGCTTACAGGCAGTAGTTGGCTTAAAATTGAATTAATTACTGTAACACGGAAGACGAAAAAAGTAAGTTAATCAACGTTGCTATGAGCTGATTTATAAATGGGACTAGTTTAAAAAATCACAAAGCTTGTGAATTTTATTTTTCATTTTATATCGAGATAAACTCGTTTCTTTGGATTAGCGATATAACTTGAAATAAATATGTCAAATTAGGAAGGTCTAAAAATTCCATTTTTGAAGATTTGACATTTTCAACCTTATTAACAATGAGCCTAGAATAACAAGAAACTTCTTTTCAAGTAATAATAATAAGTATAATAATGTTCTTACAGATTTTGTAGATCCAATTTATATTGCCCTTCATAAAAATAATAATATGATATTTAACATAAACCTTATAATTAACTCAGAAAGATCATTCGTGCTGATATATCTCATGAGACGAAAGTCAAAAGGTGAAAGTTTTGAAAGGTGGCGCCACTGCCATACAAGTAGGTGCATACGATTCAGAGTACATCGTAATCATCAACATCATAGCAGACAAGATTAATATATTTTCATGTACTATGAGTTTACAAAGGCAGCATTTTATGTTATATGTTCCTAGCTATCGCATTTTGATAACCTGTAATTGTAGCTTTAAGTGTACTCATAAAAATAAATTATATTTAACTAACTCAACTATGTAACTACTCTGTTAGCTAGAAGCGCTGTCGGTTACAAACTGAAAATCAGCAATGTAAAATAACTTGGTTGCCGCGATACAGATGGCCTCACCTGTCACCCCGTCACGAGCTTAGAGCAACAACCGCTACGTTGTTTTCGTAACGTTAATTTCAAAATTTGTAAATTGATTCTTGAAGTGTTAAATAAATAAATAAATTTATAAAAATCTATTGATCAATGACAATATTGCGATAATCCGTTACCTTAAAAGTCGCAGTTTTTATTTTACAGCACTTACTTGAAGACATGAAATTTAGGATGCCATATTTGTCCCTGCCGAAATTTGAGACGCTTCGTTCCATTATATTTTGCAGGGTACCACGCCATGCTGTCATCTGTCCAGCTCTACAAGCATCATAATATTATTAATAATAATTACAACAGGTTGTACCCATATGTCCGTGTGATGACGGATTGAGAATACGCAGTGTAACCACCCATATAAATCCCGTGGGTGTCGTAAGAGCCGACTAAGGTAGCAAACTACGCAAAACAACAGCACAGCAAAGATAAGAAAAACTTGACACAAACCCTATACCAACCCATCTGGCCAGCCTGGTATAGTAGGCCAAAACCTGCTTTCTAAGGAAGAGGCCTATTTTTACCAGTGGACTATTTTGATCAACGGCTGTTGATATAACGTGATGATGATGTAATATAATTGTTAAATCGTGAATTTACTTATTTATACTTTATTTATTGGTTTCACATTCTTTTAAATTACCTGACGTTTCAGAAATGTATAATATTCCTTGTTATTCATAAACATCATGTGACCCTAGATATACTACATTTACGTATTCAAATGGAAAAAAAAACGATGATTCAAAGAACAATAAACTGTTTCGAATTTAAAAAAACGAGAAGTAGAGGTTTAGATCTCTCTTTCCTCCTAGCTCCAGCTCTTGAAGCGATAGACCAGGACAAAAATAGGTAATTGAACTATAAAAATAAAGAAAAATAGCAAAACTTCGAGCAAATTCAAATTTTTCATATTTCAATTTTAAGAAAAAAGATATTCGGTACATACGATGACTCCTGATATTCCAGTGACTAGTTTTGAGCTGAATGCATTGTATTTTACACTTGTGACTTTGATCCCTAATCTCACGTTCATAGTTGGACTTGGAGGTATCCAAGGAAGCTTGTACAGTAAGATATCCCTCTTCAATCGATCTGACATTGAAATCTGTTGGTCAATTTCTGTAGAGGATGCTGGTACTGTGAAGGAAATAACAATGAAGAGAATAATTTGTTCAAAATTTTGAGTCGATTTTCGAAAAAAATATTTAACCAAATAGTATCTTATCAAAATAAAATATAAAACTAGTTGCAAAGTTCACAATATAAATAACAATCTTGATTCTCCTTTGACAGAAGTAAAAATTAATGTAAGTAAATTTTTCGGTTTTTAAGGTCGACCAGGTCATAAGCTGGCAACATTTTAAAATTGCTTTCAACTTACTTTCGCCTCCACCGCTGGTAGGTATAGGACAATCGTACAGGAACTTTGCTTCAACACCCGACCAAGCAGCAAAGCTAAAGTACTTAATTTCAAGAGGGCTTACGTCGTTGTACGACAATATAGGTAGAACTTCACCCTCCTTTCCGAACTCTACTAGACCCTCTGCAAAATATTTTTTCACACTAAAGTTTCTACATACTTAGAAAGGTTAGTATATTATTCAGATTTAGGAAAAAAAAAATTTGCCTTTGATTTGAAATTTTAGTAGGTTAACAGGATTGGGAAGTAGTATCTCTAGCCTTGTACGGGATTATGTTTTCGTGACAGTATTTCAGCTTATAGAATAGATACGGTTGGGATGATGCAGCATAAGGTATTAGCAGTACTCAAGGTATTGCCGACTTTTATTGACCGTCCAAGTGGTAAAAAATTCCATGTGCTAGACTATGAAGATATGTTTTTTAAAAGCCTTAGAAATACGCAACGACAAAACTTTTTTCCTTAATTTGACAACCTACATATAATAATAAAATTATAATTATAATTATAATAATACTTAAATTTTTATTGTGTTCAAAAACGTTTCATGGACTTTCGTGTTATTAATAAATATGAAAAAAAGCTCTGTCAAAGATAGTAACTTTGACAGAGCTTGATTCTAAATAATTTAATGACGAATGGAACTATGAAAACTTGGTTTGAGAAATCTGTATCAGGTTCTAAATTTTTATCTTACCTTGACTAATTTTGATATAAAAACCTCTCATCTCAAATGTAGACAGTATATTTTGTGTTTTGACAGATACTTTGCCGTCTCTTTTCAAGTGACGTCTTAGTTCCGTAAACCGATTGCCACCGCCGCCAACAACTGAAGAAATTTCAATTTTTGTAAATTGCATTAAGTTACTTACATTCACATTCGATTTAGTATAAAATTCTAATTTTAATCGCATACCTACTTATATTTTCAAAGCCATAAAAACATGGTGACACATTCACTAAATACAATCGATTTAAAACACTAAAATAGCTCATTAAAATATTACATGATTTAAAAGTTTTCTACTGTTTTTTGAAGATAAAGATAACTTTTCTTTTTCATAGATTTAGATTTTGACAAGACAGCTAGTCCTTACTATTACTATAATATTATTCATTAGTTATGACTGAAATCTATTTATTTTATAACTGTGTGTAACACAAATATATTTTATATGTAGCCAGAAGCAGACCCTCGAAGGTTGATTTAAAATAATGATTAAACAGATATGCTTACCGATTTCGTACACAGGATCGCTGTATCCAGGTCTCTCAGTAGATGACAACAAAATATGACCATTACTCATAGCTTGTATACCTAAATGCATTTCGAAAGCCATATCAGAGTCCTTTCTTATTTCTTTTAATTCTTCGTTATCAACCCTATAAATAGTCTTATATGTGTAACCGTCTTTGCAAATATGTTCTTTGCAAGCTTGCGCCACTGAAATGTAATAATGGGAAATTAAGAAGGATTTATAATATGTACATTGTGGTTGCGGTAAGACAGGTGCAGGTAAGACAACGTTCCTCATAGAACACGTTATGCCATCAGTTCCGGTTGCCATACGAACATCTGTGACAATTGTTACGGGTAGTTAGAGCCTTAAAAAGTCCGACAATAGCCTTACTACAGAACTTCGATATCGCCTAGAACTTGGGTTCTGATGGCAGTCGCTCCGCGTGAAAAATCTAAAATCAGCCATAACATAGTAGACTTAAAGCCGATCCTAACGTGGTTTGGGCAAAAGGCTCCGAGTTGTTGTTTGTTGGTATTAATATTAAGAAATACAACATTTGAATACAGATTTCTTTGCTAGTAAGGGTATTATAAGTTTCGAGTTCGACATTTAACTTTACTATTGATTCCAGTGAGGTGAAATCCCAAGGGACATATTAAATAACTGTTTAATTTAAACCAATAATTTTATTGCTATATTACAGCAGCAAGTTAATAAATGCTATTTCCTCTACTAGCTTCGTCCTAGTGTGTGTCCGTTATCACACTTATCACGGTAGTAAGTAGCCTATGTAACTCGTTGATAAAGTAACTTTCCACTGGTAAAATAATTTTTTTAATCGGTTTATAGGTATAGGAGTAAAAGCGTAACAAACAAACAAGCATACCCACTATCAAATTTATAATATAAGTATGGAAGTATAGATTTTAAACCATTATATATTTTATATGAAATCTGGTTTTTATGACCGAATACTGAGTACAATATTATAATCAAAACAAAATTAACACTTACTTTTTGGCGTAAACACAAATGTATTATTACTGGCATCAGTACACTTAAATAAATAAAATATGGTAAAAAATATCACCCACATCATTGGTCACTTTATAATTTAAAACTGCATAAAGAACATTAATAAAACGTAATGTTCACTTATAGTAATTTAATCTAAAGATTTTTGGAATAAAACTAGAGAGTCAGTATGACAATGTGTTCCATTCAGAGGCTCCAACTGACATGTATTGAGATAGATGTAATGCTGCAATACTTATCGCTTCCTGAATCGGGATGTATGCGGGAACAAAACTCAGCGATAGCACGACAGAGGACATCGGCGTGCTTAAAATAAAACAAAGACTTAATATAGCATTTAAATGATATAGTTTAAAAAGACTTATTTCTTAGCGTTCCATGGATTCACCGTGCGGGTGCCGGGTCCATTGCGTGATAGATGGGGCAACACATGCGACTTCGGAATTGCGACCTTGGGATAGGTTAAGGGAGTAATCCTTGCGACGCGTCAGCGCTCACCTCCACTGTCTGCTGTGTTACCTTTACCTAACCATACTTGATACGAGCCTAGCAATGTCGTTTTGGATATGCGTTCAAGGTCTTTAAGCAGTGTATAGAGGGTTTTGGATAGTATACTCCTCGCACCCACTTCCACGGCATACAACGCAACGAAATAAACATTTTTAGTTATTTCGTTGGTTAAGTCAAAGTATTTGTTAGTTTTTAAATCTTTAGGGATGTTCGTTTCCCATGGCCCCGTGAGTTCTACTAGTACTACACGCTTGTTGACATTGCATAAAGAATTATGTCTGGTCTGGACGTCGAAGCACAGATCTCCTCCGGTATTCTGTAATGATATTGATACGTGTCCACTAATAATATCCAGTCACTGGCGGTTTTTTATATTGGAGTGCGGCTTGTGTGAAGTCTTTTTTGTTGAGTCTTCTTTTACAAACTCGATGTTAGTTCTTATGTTTGTTGTTGTTCCTTTTTTCGCTCTCGCCAGTGTTAAACTCCGTCCGTGCAGAGACTGATTAAGAATACGGAATGTCACCACCCCTATTTATCCCGTGGATGTCGTAAGAGCCGACTAAGGGAGCAAACTACGCAGGACAATAATACTGCAAAGAGAAGGAAAACTTGAAACAAACCCTATATCAACACGTCTGGCCAGCGTGGTATAGTAGGCTAACACCTTCTTTCTAAGGAGAGGCCTATGTCCAGCAGTGGACTATTATAGGCTGTTGATGATGATGATGATGACGAGTGATAAACTCATAGCTTCGCGCAATAATCGACTTTAATGTGCATAAATCACGATAATCTATAGAAATTTACTATTACTAAATTTCTCTTAAAGATTGAATATTTTCTTCAAATAATAGCAAAAATCTAGAGGACAATCAATTCACTTGAAAAAAAAACGATTCTCAAATGACGTAGATATCCCGCACACGATAAAGTGATCCAGTCGAATTAAGAAAAATCCTTCTCGGTAAAGTAGATTAATAAAGAGAAATCAAATTATAATGATAATATCATGTATCACTTTCTGAGGCAGAAAGTTTATGCATGGGCAAATAGGATAAGACGGTATAAAAAACGAATAGATCGGTATAATCAGAATCAAATGTTCCAAAGAAATGAGAAGTGGGTGTACCGGAAATGTGAGGAACCGGAGTCACGTGTGAGTGATGGGCATTTCCCAGATGAAAATACCACAAACACATTTTGGCGTAACATCTGGTCGATGCTTGTCATTCATACACAAAGTGATTGATTGCAGGATGTCAGACGCACATGTGAGCCTATAACAGCTATGGAGCCATCCATAAAGATGATGTAAGTTATGCAGTCCTTTAATTACCAAATTGGAAATCACCTAGTTCAGACGGACTACACAACTTTTGGCTTAAGTGATCCCGAAGCTCATATGCGTGTTTGGCATCTCCATTCCAGGCAGCATTGGATTAGCGTTTATTATCCTAATTTTTAACCATTGGCAAAATCCACGTACTCTAGAAGTCTGGTAGTTTCATGGATCCTACAAATTTTAGACTTATTACATGCTTACCAGCCATGTATAAACTTCTAACATCTACTCTGAGACTCAAAATTTCTACTTACATTAATAACAATTCAATTATTTCCGTTTCTCAGAATGAATGTAGAAGTGGGATCCGAGGCACTAAAAAGCTCCTCATCATAGATATGACCAATATATACGGCGTAATTGTAAGAGTCTGGCTAAAAGACTATAAGAAGGCTTATGACTCGGTTCGGACCCCATAGATGTCTTTTAAGGGTGCTAGAGTTGTAAAATTGAAACGACTCTGTGCCCTTTTTTGAAGTTATGTATGGAGCAATGGAGAATAACACTTCGCTATCCAGGATATCAACAGATATCAATAAAGATTGAGCGCGGAATATTTCAAGGGGATAGTTTGAGTCCCTTGTGGTTTGTCTGGCTTTGAACCCTCTTAGCACTCTATTAGTGGGTTCGTGGTTAGGCTAGGGTTGCAGAAAAATGATCAAGCTATATCTCACCTTCTTTATTTAGATGATTTGAAACTACTTGCTCACACTAAATTACAATTGACAGCGTTGTTAAAGGTGACTGAAAACTTTACTAATTCTATCAAGATGGAATTTGGTGTAGGCAAATGTAAAGTCATGTATGTAAATAAGGGCGTGATAGTAGAATCTAATGGAACAGACCTTCAGATCATATACAGATTCAACAAAACTCAGATCTCTGTCTGCCACTGAAACCTACAAGTATCTAGGTCTATCACAGACTTTGGGAATACCAGAATCTAACATAAAACAAACATTGCAAAAACGCTTATTAGTACAGTACAAAAAGTACTTAGAAGTGTTTTATTAGGGGGCAACAAAGTGCGAGCCTACAGTGGTATTGTTTGAGCGATTATGGAGGAAGTTATCATGGCATGCCACTGTCCTGGGGAATCAATCAGGCACACTATTTTCGGTTGTTCTCGTCTCGCTAACGGCGAATATTTGCACAGGCAGAACGAAGTATCCAGGATCATACACCAACAGCTTGTCCTTAAATACCAACTTGTGAATCTAGACGTGCCATGCCACAAGTATGTGCCCGACTCAGTTCTCGAGAACTCTCTCTCGTTCCACATTGTATTGGGATCGATATGCTCTGGTTTTTTACATTACGGAACACAATCAAGCACTCATAACAAAAAAAAAATCTTTGTTTTAATTTAATTGTCACCTTTTTAGCCTGGTTTCAATCGTATACCGATCCCCAGGAGTTACTAGTCGAAATTTCTAAATGAAAAAAGTGTTTTTTAAATAATGATGGCCATGTGATATTAAAAACAACTTTTAACATGATAACACATTGGCAGTTTCATAAAATATACGTACATTCGCACATGGACTCACATCTACTGAATAGTGCCACATTTAACTTATTCCAAGTTAAATGTTTTTTATTACCTGAATAAAAAAGAGAACCAAAAAGTAATAAATAAATTTCAGCACTAGCGAAGCCAGGCCAAATGGTTAGTTTCTGCATAAAACAAAATGGGTAGCTCCAATATCATGCAAACGGATACTGCTATCTGCCGGATACGAGATAAAGCTCTGTAACTAATATTAAAACAAATACTATTATTTATGTGGCTTATCCCTCTCGCCTTTTATTATTGCTTTTACGTAGTTTAACTTTATGTATTTTATTGTAGACCTTTGGCCTTTTGTTAGCTAGCCATTATATGGAAACGTTTGAAAATAGGTATTTGTATTTATGTATTTCTACTTCCTGGAAAGTTTTACATATACACCTAAATTTAAGCAATTATCCATAGTGTTATTTACAATCGTTTTTATACGTTTACCACTTCAATCTACCTTCGCCATATCATAAATCAACTCCAATTCAAAAACATTTCTTCCCTACCTCCTTAGTAGACGTCAAGTTGCGTATTAAAGTTCTCAAGTTGGTGCAAGCCGAATAAAGTACTCAAGAAGGACCTTAAGATAGCTTGGATCACTGGATCGGTCACTATCGTTCTTGGAGTATATTGAAGAAACTTTGGCCCTGGCACACATTATGACACTCTCGTCTACTGAACAGAAGAACGAAGAATAAGGAAGGCAGAGTGCGGGTTAAAAAGATACCAAATAGTAGGAATACTGAAGTCATGTCCAAACTGCTGACGCGTTGCTGACGAGACGTCTCAGGCAGCCTGGGTCTTGTTTACTAATTTCTAGTTTTGCATTTGCATAAAATTCATAATAGGTAGCCTTATTGCCAAAAGCAGTATTATACAGGCAACGTCAGAATGGACAATGTGGTATATGCAAATTCTGTTTCTACCTCTAAATTTTTTTAACAGTGTATAAGCATTTTTTAGTTAGCCATTTGTATAGGCGTACACCAAACAATTTTATAGGCAATTTAAAATCTTATTCTCTTAGAGTTTGAAGAATTTTGTTATAGATCTTGAATGGCAATGGTATATTCCACTAGTTAAACTCCACTAATATGTACCATATAATTTATACTACTACTAATATAATAGTTGTCGTACCAAACATACTGCTGACGGAATATTTGGAACACGTCACCGGCAATTAATACGCTTAGTACATACTCCGAACAAATCCTTCGGTGTTAAGTGAGTGGTGCAATTAACGTCACTCATAAAAGACGGTCTAAGCTCCGATCGTAAAGTATTTATAACAAGACTACTTCAAATACAGTGCTCGACCTGGTGTTATTGGGGCGAACATTTTCGAGTCGTTTAGTAAATTTAATTTCAAGGGTAATAATTTGTGTTTCTATTTGAATTAATAACTTTATTTGTTAGTTGCCGAAAGTTTAGGAATGGATAAAGTTAAATGATTATTCTATTAAATATCGTTTTAGAATTAGTAAAAATCTGTTATAGTCTACTTGACTTATACAAACTTTGTGGTGATATTGATACTATAGCAGGTCGATTATATTGGAACAAAGTTCCTTATCGCGCGTTACATGCTCTGAGCGGATGGGGGGGCTCTACCGAAAAATGTGGAACAAAACTTTTTTCCGCCACT